GTCAGTACTTAGTACAGTAGCCTCCGGTCTGCGGCCAGTACATTAGTTCCTCTTAGTGCAGTAGCCTCCGCTTTGTGGTGTCAGTACAAATTTTTAGTTCCCGTCTATTAGTACAATAGCCTACGCTCTGCGGTCAGTACATTAGTTCCTCTTAGTACAGTAGCCTCCGCTCTGTAGCCAGTACATTAGTTCCTCTTAGTACAGTAGCCTCCGCTCTGCGGTCAGTACATTAGTTTCTCTTAGTATAGTAGCCTCCACTATGCAGTCAGTACATTAGTTCCTCCTAGTACAGTAGCCTCCGTTCTGCGGTAGTATAGTATCCTCCGCTCTGCAGTAGTACGGTAGCCTCTGCTCTGCGGTAGTACGGTAGCCTCCGCTCTGCGGTGGTACGGTAGCCTCCGCTCTGCGGTAGTACAGTAGCCAATGCTCTGCGGTAGTACAGTAGCGTCCGCTCAGCGGTAGTACAGTAGCCTCCGCTCTGCGGTAGTACAGTAGCCTCCGCTCTGCGGTAGTACAGTAGCCTCTGCTCTGCGATAGTACAGTAGCTTCTGTTCTGCGGTAGTACAGTAGCCTCTGCTCTGCGGTTGTACAGTAGCCTCCGCTCTGCAGTAGTACAGTAGCCTCCGCTCTGCAGTTGTACAGTAGCCTCCGCTCTGCGGTTGGACAGTAGCCTCAGTTCTGCGGTAGTACAGTAGCTTTCGCTCTGTGGTAGTACAGTAGCCTCCGCTCTGCGGTTGAACAGTAGCCTCCACTCTGCGGTAGTACAGTAGCCTCCACTCTGCAGTAGTACAGTAGCCTCCACTCTGTGGTTGTACAGTAGCCTCCGCTCTGTGGTTGTACAGTAGCCTCCGCTCTGCGGTTTTACAGTAGCCTCCGCTCTACAGTTGTACAGTAGCCTACGCTCTGCGGTAGTGCGGTAGCCTTTGCTCTGCAGTAGTACAGTAGCCTCCGCTCTGCGGTTGAACAGTAGCCTCCGCTCTGCAGTAGTACAGTAGCCTCCACTCTGTGGTTGTACAGTAGCCTCCGCTCTGGGTTAGTACAGTAGGCCTCCCGCTCTGCGGTTTACAGTAGCCTCCGCTCTACAGTTTGTAACAGTAGCCTACGCTCTCTGCGGTAGTGCGTAGCCTTGTCTCTGCAGTAGTACATTAGCCTCCGCTCTGCGTAGTAAGTAGCCTACCTCTGCGGTAGTACAGTAGCCTCCACTCTGCGGTAGTACAGTAGCCTCCACTCTGCAGTAGTACAGTAGCCTCCGCTCTGCGGTAGTACAGTAGCCTCCGCTCTGTGGTTGTACAGTAGCCTCCACTCTGCGGTAGTGCAGTAGCCTCCGCTCTGCGGTAGTACAGTAGCCTCACCTGCGGTAGTACAAAGTACCCTCCGCTCTGCGGTAGTACAGTAGCCTCCACTCTGCGGTAGTGCAGCAGCTTCCACTCTGCGGTAGTACAGTAGCCTCCGCTATGTGGCTGTACAGTAGCCTTCGCTCTGCGGTAGTACAGTAGCCTCCGCTCTGCGATAGTACAGTAGGCTCTGCTCTACGGTAGTACAGTAGCCTACGCTCTGTGGTAGTACAGTAGCCTCCGCTTTGTGGTAGTACAGTAGCCTCCGCTCTGTGGTTGTACAGTAGCCTCCGCTCTGCGGTAGTACAGTAGCCTCCGCTCTGCGGTAGTACAGTAGCCTCCGCTCTGCGGTTGTACAGTAGCCTCCGCTCTACGATAGTACAGTAGCCTCCACTCTGTGGTAGTACAGTAGCCTCCGCTCTATGGTTGTACAGTAGCCTCAGCTCTGCGGTAGTACAGTAGCCTCCACTCTGCGATAGTACAGTAGCCTCCGTTCTGCGGTAGTACAGTAGCCTCCACTCTGCAGTAGTACAGTAGGCTCTGCTCTGCGGTAGTACAGTAGCCTCCGCTCTGCGATAGTACAGTAGCCTCCGCTCTGGATGTACAGTAGCCTCCTTTCTGTGGTAGTAGAGTAGCCTCCGCTCTGCGGTTGTACAGTAGCCTCCGTTCTGCGGTAGTACAGTAGCCTCCGCTCTGCGTAGTACAGTAGCTCTGCTCTGCGGTAGTCAGAGCTTCTGCTCTCTGCGGATAGTACAGTAGCCTCCGCTCTGCGATGGTACAGTAGCCTCCTTTCTGTGGTAGTAGAGTAGCCTCCGCTCTGCGGTTGTACAGTACCCTCCGCTCTGCGATAGTACAGTAGCCTCCGTTCTACGGTAGTACAGTAGCCTCCGCTCTGCAGTAGTACAGTAGCCTCCACTCTGCGATAGTACAGTAGCCTCCGTTCTGCGGTAGTACAGTAGCCTCCGCTCTGCGGTAGTACAGTAGCCTCCGCTCTGCGATAGTACAGTAGCCTCCGTTCTGCGGTAGTACAGTAGCCTCTGCTCTGCAGTAGTACAATAGCCTCTGCTCTGTGGTTGTACAGTAGCCTTCGCTCTGCGATAGTACAGTAGCCTCCGCTCTGCGGTAGTACAGTAGCCTCCGCTCTTCGGTAGTACAGTAGCCTCCACTCTGCGGTAGTATAGTAGCCTCCGCTCTGCAGTAGTACAGTAGCCTCCGCTCTGTGGTAGTACAGTAGCCTCCGCTCTGCGGTAGTACAGTAGCCTCCGCTCTGCGGTAGTACAGTAGCCTCTGCTTTGTGGTAGTACAGTAGCTTCCACTCTGCGACAGTACAGTAGCCTCCGCTCTGCGGTTGTACAGTAGCCTCCGCTCTGCGGTAGTACACTAGCCTCCGCTCTGCAGTTGTACAGTAGCCTCTACTCTGTGGTTGTACAGTAGCCTCCGCTCTGCGGTTTTACAGTAGCCTCCGCTCTACAGTTGTACAGTAGCCTACGCTCTGCGGTAGTGCGGTAGCCTTTGCTCTGCAGTAGTACAGTAGCCTCCGCTCTGCGGTAGTATAGTAGCCTCCACTCTGCGGTAGTACAGTAGCCTCCACTCTGCGGTAGTACAGTAGCCTCCGCTCTGCAGTAGTACAGTAGCCTCCGCTCTGTGGTAGTACAGTAGCCTCCGCTCTGTGGTTGTACAGTAGCCTCCACTCTGCGGTAGTGCAGTAGCCTCCGCTCTGCGGTAGTACAGTAGCCTCCACCCTGCGGTAGTACAGTAGCCTCCGCTCTGCGGTAGTACAGTAGCCTCCACTCTGCGGTAGTGCAGCAGCTTCCGCTCTGCGGTAGTACAGTAGCCTCCGCTATGTGGCTGTACAGTAGCCTTCGCTCTGCGGTAGTACAGTAGCCTCTGCTCTGCGATAGTACAGTAGGCTCCGCTCTACGGTAGTACAGTAGCCTACGCTCTGTGGTAGTACAGTAGCCTCCGCTCTGTGGTAGTACAGTAGCCTCCGCTCTGTGGTTGTACAGTAGCCTCCGCTCTGCGGTAGTACAGTAGCCTCCGCTCTGCAGTTGTACAGTAGCCTCCGCTCTGCGATAGTACAGTAGCCTCCACTCTGCGGTAGTACAGTAGCCTCCGCTCTATGGTTGTACAGTAGCCTCACCTCTGTGGTAGTACAGTAGCCTCCGCTCTGCGGTAGTACAGTAGCCTCTGCTCTGCAATAGTATAGTAGCCTCCGCTCTGCGATAGTACAGTAGCCTCCGTTCTGCGGTAGTACAGTAGCCTCCGCTCTGCGGTAGTACAGTAGGCTCTGCTCTGCAGTAGTACAGTAGCCTCTGCTCTGCGATAGTACAGTAGCCTCCGCTCTGCGATGGTACAGTAGCCTCCTTTCTGTGGTAGTAGAGTAGCCTCCGCTCTGCGGTTGTACAGTAGCCTCCGCTCTGCGATAGTACAGTAGCCTCCATTCTACGGTAGTACAGTAGCCTCCGCTCTGCAGTAGTACAGTAGCCTCCACTCTGCGATAGTACAGTAGCCTCCGTTCTGCGGTAGTACAGTAGCCTCCGCTCTGCGGTAGTACGGTAGCCTCTGTTCTGCGGTAGTACAGTAGCCTCTGCTCTGCGGTAGTACAATAGCCTCCGCTCTGTAGTTGTACAGTAGCCTTCGCTCTGCGATAGTACAGTTGCCTCTGCTCTGCGGTAGTACAGTAGCCTCCGCTCTGCGGTAGTACAGTAGCCTCCGCTCTACGGTAGTACAGTAGCCTCCGCTCTTCGGTAGTACAGTAGCCTCCACTCTGCGGTAGTACAGTAGCCTCCGCTCTGCGGTAGTACAGTAGCCTCTGCTTTGCGGTAGTACAGTAGCCTCCACTCTGCGACAGTACAGTAGCCTCCGCTCTGCGGTAGTACAGTAGCCTCCGCTCTGTGGTAGTACAGTAGCCTCCTCTCTGCGGTAGTACAGTAGCCTCCACTCTGCGATAGTACAGTAGCCTCCGTTCTGCGGTAGTACAGTAGCCTCCGCTCTGCGGTAGTACAGTAGCCTCCGCTCTGCGATAGTAGCCTCTGCTCTGCGGTAGTACAATAGCCTCCGCTCTGTGGTTGTACAGTAGCCTTCGCTCTGCGATAGTACAGTAGCCTCCGCTCTGCGGTAGTACAGTAGCCTCCGCTCTGCGGTAGTATAGTAGCCTCCACTCTACGGTAGTACAGGAGCCTCCATTCTTCGGTAGTACAGTAGCCTCCACTCTGCGGTAGTACAGTAGCCTCTGCTCTGCGGTAGTACAGTAGCCTCCGCTCTGTGGTAGTACAGTAGCCTCCGCTCTGCGGTAGTACAGTAGCCTCCGCTTTGCGTAGTACAGTAGCCTCCACTCGCGAAGTACAGTAGCCTCCCTCTGCGGTAGTACAGTAGCCTCTGCTCTGGGTAGTACAGTAGCCTCCGCTCTTCGGTAGTACAGTAGCCTCCGCTCTGGTGTAGTACAGTAGCCTCCGATCTGTGGTAGTACAGTAGCCTCCGCTCTGGGGTAGTACAGTAGCCTCCGCTCTGCGACAGTACAGTTAGCCTCCGCTCTGCGTAGTACAGTAGCCTCCGCTCTGTGGTAGTACAGTAGCCTCCGCTCTGCGGTAGTACAGTAGCCTCCGCTCTGCGGTAGTAGTAGCAGTGCTCGCCTCTACGAGTTCTAGTACAGCATTTGCCTCCGCT